GAGGAATTACCATCCCTGACTTCAAACTCTATTACAGAGCTACAGTATTGAAAAAAGCTTGGTATTGGCATAAGAACAGAGAAGTCGACCTATGGAATCGAATAGAAGACCCGGATACTAACCCACAAACCTATGAACACCTAATTTTCGACAAGGGGGCTAAAGGTATACAATGGAAGAAGGAAAGCATCTTCAACAAATGGTGCTGGCATAACTGGATGTCAACCTGTAGAAGAATGAAAGTAGATCCATATCTATCACCATGCACAAAACTCAAGTCCAAATGGATTAAAGACATCGACATTAATCTGTTCACTTTGAACCTGATAGAAGAGAAAGTGGGAAGTAGTCTACAAGATATAGGCACAGGAGGCCACTTCCTAAGTAGGACCCCAGTAGCACAGACAATAAGAGAAACAATGAATAAATGGAACCTACTGAAACTGAGAAGCTTCTGTAAAGCAAAGGACACTGTCAGTAAGACAAAAAGGCTGCCTTCTGACTGGGAGAAGATCTTCACCAACCCCTCATCAGACAAAGGTCTGATCTCCAAAATATACAAAGAACTCAAGAAACTAGACACTAAAACTCTAATTAACCCAATTAAAAAATGGGGTACTGAACTGAACAGAGAATTCACAACAGATGAACTTCGAATGGCCAGAAGACACTTAAGGTCATGCTCAACCTCCTTAGTGATCAGGGAAATGCAAATCAAAACCACTTTGAGATACCATCTTACACCTGTCAGAATAGCTAAAGTCAAAAACACCAACGATAGCCTATGCTGGAGAGGATGTGGAGTGAGGGGAACACTCATCCATTGTTGGTGGGAATGCAATCTTGTGCAGCCACTGTGGAAATCAGTGTGGCGGTTTCTCAGGAAACTGGGAGTCAACCTCCCTCAGGACCCAGCAATTCCACTCTTGGGAATATACCCAAGAGATGCCCTATGATACTACAAGAGTATTTGTTCAACTATGTTCATAGCTGCACTATTTGTAATAGCCAGAACATGGAAACAACCTAGGTGGCCCTCAATAGAATAATGGTAAAAGAAGGTGTGGAACATATATACATTAGAGTTTTACTCAGCGGTAAAAAACAATGACATCTTGAATTTTGCATGCAAATGGATGGAAATAGAAAACGCTTTACTGAGTGAGGTAACCCAGACCCAAAAAGAGGAATATGGTATGAACTCACTCATAAGTGGATTCTAGCCATAGTTAAATGTCTTTGAGTCTATAATTTGTGATCCTAGAGAAGCTAAATAAGAAGGTGAACCTGAAGAAAATCATATAGTTATCCTCCTGGATAGTGGAACTAGGCAAGATTGCCAGGCAAACTCGGGTGCATGGGGGGTGGGGGGATGGAAGTAAGGGAAGATGGTCAGGGAGAGGGGAGAGGGGGAGGATTGGGGAAGGCTTGGGGGAATGGGAGGGGGGAGGGAGGAAGGATGGTTGGGGGAGCAGGGAGGTTTATATCTCAGCTAAGGGAGTCATTTTAGGGTTTGCAAGAGACTTGATTCTGGAGGGGTTCCCAGTAAAAATTTAATAAAAAATAAAATAATTAAAAAAAATTAAAAAAATAATAAAAAAAAGAAAAAAAAAACTGCTTTACTGAGTCAGGTAAGCCCGACCCAAAAAGAGGAATATGGTATGTATTCACTCATAAATGGATTCTAGCCATAATTAAAGGTCTTTGAGCCTATTATTCGTGATCCTAGAGAAGCTGGATAGGTGGGTGAACCTGAAGAAAATTCAGGTAGTTTTCCTCCTGGAGATTGGAAATAGACAAGAGTCCCAGGTAACCTCGGGTGCATGGGGGGGGGTAGGAGGGTTGTTGGAAGGGGAGAGGGTTAGAGAGAAGGGAGCAGGGGAGGAATGGAGAATGCTCGGGGGACTGGGGGGCGGGGGAGGAAGGATAGATATGGGATCAGGGAAGAATATATCTCAACTAAGGGAGTCAGTTTAGCGTTTACTAGAGACTTGATTATAAATGGGATCCCAGGTCCAAGGAGAGATCCCCAGATTGTTCTCTGGACAGAGGAGAGGGTGCCTGAACTGGCCTTGGCCCATAACCATGCTGATGAATATTTTGCTTATCACCATAGATCCTTCATCTGGCGATGGATGGAGATGGAGACGGAGACCCACATTGGAACACTGGACTTAACTCCCTAGATCCAAACGAGAAGCAGAAGGAAAGAGAACGTGAGTAAGGAAGACAAGACCAGAGGGAACCTTCATCCAACGATGGATGGCGATACAGACAGAGACCCACATTGGAGTACCGGACGGAGTCCCCCAAGGTCCAAATGAGGAGCAGAAGGAGGAAGAACATGAAAAAGGAAATCAGGACCGCGAGGGGTGCGATCACCCACTGATACAAGGGGCCTGATCTAATGAGAGTTCACCAAGGCCAGTTGAGTGGGACTGAGCGAGCTCGTGATCCAGCCAGATTCTCTGAATGAGGCCGGATTCTCTGAATGTGGCTGGCCCGGAGTCTTTCTGAAAAGCCATTGACAATGACACTGGGACTTGTTTCCTCTGCATATACTGGATTTCTGGGATCCAGTCTGTTTGGATGCTCACCTTCCTGGACCTGGAGGGAGGGGGGAGGAGCTTGAACTACCCACAGGCTGGGAGACCCTGACTGCTCTTGGGGATGAAGAGGGAGGAGGGGAGGGAGTGGGGGGAGTGGGAGGGGGTTGGGAGGAGGGGCGGAAATGGAGACTTTTGTATTTTAATAAACTTTGAGAAAAATAAAAAATAAGATAAATAAAAAAAAAGAAACCCAACATGGGCCACAGCCCATACATATATTCCAGAGAAGATGGCACTCAGTTCAACACATAATTTAATAGATTCACAATAAATCATGTCTGCGTTGAAATGAACGGCATTTAAATACAGTGATGGAGATAATGACAGTGTTTGTGGATGGTGACCGAGGAGTTCTGCTTTCTTCTTTCAAAGACTCAGAAAGCTTTTTCCTGTGATGGGAGGTAGGGGGTGGGGATATTTTTCTCTCTCCAGTCTTTCAGATATGAAAAATCTGACAAATGATAGCAATTTCTTTCTCATACTTTAGTTGAAAAGGAGCTTGGACAAAATGTCAGTGGCTATGACTAGGTGTGATGATATATACACACACACAAATCTCAAGTACTTAGGAGGCTGGCAAAGAAAGAACAGAGATCAAGGGCAGAAGCCTGGGCTACTCAGGAGGCTGAGGCAGGAGGATTACACGATCAGCCTGAGCAACATAGTAAGGCTGTCTCTAAATGAAAAAGAGGACCAGAGACAGGGAGGAGAGTGCTTGCATGGAATATGCCAGGCTGCAGGTCCAAAACCGAGTATGGCAAAAATATAAAGGGAGTGAGCGGTTGTGGGGAGGAAGGAAGGGAGAGCTCTCAAAGCTGGGAAGATCAAATAAAGAAACAACTCCCACAAAGAAAGCAATGGTCATCCTAGAGCAGGTCACGCTGAGACCCTATTGCTAAGGCAATCTCGTTCTCAGTCCATAGTCCTCAGACATCTATCTAGACTCTCATCACTCAAGGACCGAATAAAGAGCAGCATAAAGGTGAGCAGGAGCAAGGCTTCAGTTAGCACCCTGCCTTGAATCTCAGCTGTCAGCAGAAAACCTAGCGCAAGCATCATCACATTTAGCTGAAGACCTAAGACACCCAAGACATAAAATGTCAGGTAAACGCTACCAGACATCTGAATCCAAAGGTTACTGCATCAGCGTTCAAAATTAAAGGCTTTTCACAGTGAGCTATAGGTCCGATTTTTAAAAAGTTGAAAATATTTTATAATTAAAAATATGTTTGTGGGGTTAGAGAAGTAGTTCAGTGGTTAAGAACACCGGCTGTATTTCCAGAGGACCTGAGTTCAATTCGTAGCATCCACACAGTGATTCACTGTCTGTAACTCCAGTTCCAGGGAGCTGATGCTCTTTTCTGACCTCCAAAGGCAGTACGTACTCACGTGACGCACAGACATACACGCATGCAAAACACCTACGCACATTAAATAATAGATAGATAGATAGATAGATAGATAGATAGATAGATAGATAGATAGATAGTGCTTTCTGGGGAGCTGTATGTACACGTGAGTGTGAGTGTCGATGGTCGATGCAGACACTTGCAGGCTGGGAACACAAGCCAGGTCCTTCACAGAGGTGGTCAGATTTGTTAATAACAGGCCCCAGGCAAGAAAGTGACTTTCAGACACACTGTGATGTGCTAAATGATGATAACTTGCCATGATTCATCGTAAGTCTTGGTTTTTAGGTCTTGAGGATTATATGGCCCAAATCTGGTATCCCTAAAGTACCTTACTTTTGTCGCTGGTGTTTGGGTGCTTAGAGGCAATCAAAAGAAACAGCAGTGTGCTGGAGATCTTTGCTCTTCAAGCCGGGGGTTATTTTCAGGGACAATATCATAAGCAAGGATGAAAGCAACGAAAATCAGTCTTTCAATACTGACCACCTCTACTTCCCTTTCCAGGAGGGCATATTCCCAGTTCCCTGGGTTTCTCAGTTTTACAAAGAGAGAGGCAAATAACAGGCCTGTTTCATCTGTGAAGTTTGCTTCCCCACAGAATGCTTGCTTCCAACAAACCCTAGTGTCTTAGTTAGGGTTTACTATTGCTGTGAAGAGACACCATGACCACAGCAACACCTATATCATTTAATTGGGAGCTTACAGTTTCAGGTTGATTGGTCCACCACCGCCATGGACTAGTGCGGAGCATGGCAGGGTGCATGCAGAGGTGTTGCTGATTACACCTTGTCCAGTTTACAGCAGGAAGCCGACTGACTCACTGGGCAGTATTCCGAGTCTATGAAACCTCAAAGCCCACCCCCAGGGACACGTTTCCTCCAACCAGGTCACACCCACTCCAAACAAAGTCATACCTCCTATAAGTGCCATTCCCTATGAGATTATGGGATTAGGGGGGGCCAATTGCATTCAAACCACCACACCTAGTTTAAAATCTTTATTATCGTTATTACTTTTAAAGTGTGTACTTTAAAATAGCTTGGTGTCTCTCTTCAGGGAGCATGGGTTACTTTGGTAGTATTCTGGTCCCATTCAGTTTGAAGTTCCGTAAGATCTGGGAGCACATTGTTCTTGTGACCAGTAGTCTTAAAGCTCAACATCTGATCAACTGGGGGAGATGGTTTAAGGGAATGCCTGCTGCTGTCCCAACGGCTCACAACTGTTCCAGGGCATCCGATACACTTTTCTGTAAACACATACAAACATAGAAATCAAATAAGTAAAATACTCAAGATAAAGCAAGGTTAGAGAAGTTTGGGAAATTCAAACAGTAAGTTTTGGTAAATAGCTTGGTAACTTTCAAGATGTTGCTGCCTAATCAATCATAACTGGAGTCAGTTCAGGAATATTTTGCCATTTCCAAAATAAAAAGAGTACAAAGAGGGGTATATATTTTATAAAAGAATGCAGTTAAATTTCAATTTTTACATTTTTCTTCGTCCCGAGGCAAGTCCTTTTTGCTAGCTCACCACAGATTCACTCCAAGCCTTTCTTAAGACAAGAACTACGAACCCCAGAATGCCCTGCTCCATGTTTGTCCGCGAGAATTCCTCAGGCCGATTTTAACCAATCGTTGCACGGGGAGCCTTCTCCACCAGCCAATCAGAAGGCAAAGTGGCTGGCGGCTAGCGGCGGTCCAGAGTTTGAAATCGGAAGTCTGCGCGGTGGAGAAGCGGCTTGCTGGTTCCTGCCCGACACGTCCGGACTGCTGAAGACGGTGGCGTTTCTGGCCGCCCAGGTCGGGGAGCTTGCTGAAGGGCTGCGGGGCTCACCGCTCGCGCGCGGTGAGGGAAGGTCGTTTTGGGTCTGCCGGCGTCTGGAACTCGGGTCTGGGCTGTTAGCCCCGGGGTTCGGCTTGCGTCACCCGTCGGTCACCGGGCCGCCCCGCCCCCTCCCCCGCCTCCGCAGGCAGGGAGTTAGTGGGGTCCTGCTGGCCGACGGGGTCTAGTGCTGAAAACCCAGACCGTCGGTCCCCCTGCTTCTGAGGGTCTCCTTGCCTGCGATCGGGTCCTTAGGAGGAGAAGTTGACTTGGGTTCTGTTAAAAAAAAAATGACTTGGAAGATTCATACAACATATTTGGATAATATTTTCCCTCCCCCCACGCACACACCTCTTTTCATGCAGCTGCTCTCAGAACGGCTTTCACCACAGTTCGGTCCACGTGGCTGGAACTACCCTGTTGCTAGCTACTGGGACTATTGATGTTTTGTTTTGTTTTTTAAAGACAGGGTCTGGCCTGGAGGTCTCTGTTGACCAGGCTAGCCTTGAACTCACAGATAATCCTCCTGCCTCTGCGTCTTTATTGCTGGGTCGGAGCAAAAGGGATACACTACCATGCCCTGCTGTTTTTAATGTATTTAGACAAGGTCTCAGGTATTTCAGGCTGGTCGTGGATTTTGCCGAGGATGACCTTTAACTCTTGATCCACCTGCCCCCCATTATGCTATAGCAAGGCCAAACTGCGGGTGTATACTCGGTTAGAATACGTGACTCATTTGGTGTCCATTACAGTTACATGTGTGCTCTGTTTTGCAGCATCGGACACGATGTTCGAAGACGAACTGACCCTCTTGAATCAGAGCATAAATGAATTTGGAGATAAGTTCAGAAACGACCTCAGTGGGAATCCTAGCCAGATGCTGGGACTCAGAGATGCCGTCAAGGATTCCCTTAAAGCGCTTTCAGGTACCGCCCTTACCTCCCAGCCTGCTCCCCTGGCTGTTCTTCCTACTGATAGACTTCAGCGGAATTGAGACCTCTATGGCTATTTGTCTTTCAGAAAAGCTGTCTTTGAAACTGAAGGAAGAAGAAAAGATGGTTGAGATGTTTCTGGAATATCAAAACCGTATGTGCAGACCTGTAGATCGTTTTTAGATTGAATGTCTTTATTGTGCAATCGTTCATATGTCCATCAAAATTCTGTTTCTGACACCAGCTTAACGTTGAATATCTTTACACCTAGTACTATGAATTTTTTCAGTATTATATTTGGATGCTATATGAATGGCATCATTTTATAATGTTATCCTATCTCTTTTTAATTAAGTAATGTATTTGCATGCTTGCATATAAAGGCCAGCTCTTTTTTTTTTTTTTAAATTGTTTTCACATTGAAAATCCCAGCTGAGGAAACTGGAGTTTCTTGGGACTTTGGGGTCTGGTTAATATTCTAATAATCATATTTTTACCACCACTTTTCCCCTTCTCATTTCTAAAGCTCTCCAGATAGTTCAGTACTGGATTTATATCTTTTTATTGGATCCTCACACCATAAGCCATAAACCTGGGGCCATGGGTTAAACTTCCCTAGAGATATTTGGGTTAGGGGCACTATGTTATAAATACTTAAACTGGAAAACCCTTGTAAACATACAGTGAAAGTACACACACACACACACACACACACACACACACATGTTGAACAAAAATTTAAGTTCAATGAATATTTGTTTGCTCTTGCTCTGGATTAAAGAAACTACATGAGGTATACGCTTAGAATTTAGTGGAGATGAAGACAGGGAGACTATAGTTAATGGTGTAATAATTGCTGTAATAATGGAATGCTTCCCATGTGGGTGTAGGCCCTGGAGGGTGTGATCCAATGAGTTACAGAATAATTAATAACTAACCCTTAGCTCACATAGTCTAAGCGGTTTCCACATTTTGACTCTGTCCTCACAACTTTAGGACACATAGGTTTATCTTCCTGGTTTTCTGTGAGATCTTGCTTGGTTGGCTTGGTTGGTTGAGATGGGGCATCATTTTCTTAGGCTGGTGTTTCTTCTCAGTCTTGTAACCTCACCTTTCCGAGGATTACAGGCACCGCCACACTCTTCCTTACCCTTTAAAAAAAAGGAGGGGGGAGACTTCTGTAATAATACTCTTGAATAAATGCTATAACTATGAGATGTTTAGCAAGGAGCATAATATTCAGTAGATTTATTTTCATTTGAATCAAATGTGAATTATTTCACCTGTATGTTGAATTTTGTAGCCTTCCTCTTTGATTTGTTTTTGAATCAGTTCTTTCTCCCTCTTGGTTAATTTGTAATTTTGTACCTATACATGCTGCTTTTATGATTTTATAAGATTTCATTTTTGTCTTTTAAGTATTTAGTAAGTTCAGGATTTGTTTCGAATTCTACCACTGCTTAGAGAGAGTACTCTACCCCTCTGATGCTGTGTTCATATTTTTCCTGTCATACTAACTTCCTGAATACACCAGCAATTGCTTCCACGGTCCTTGTTTCCCTGAGTTGTGTATTGGTTCTTCAGGCATTCTCTGGGGCCCTGTATCCACTGGGAGCACTGTATCCTACAGCAGCTCCCGAGTCTCACCTGTGTGGTGTCAGATGGATTTACTGGCTATTCTTGTTAGATGGTCACTTGACTGCCCCCTGCTCCCCCTGGGCCTGCAGTAATGTCTAGCTAGACTCTGGGAAGTACTGATACCTTAGTATTTAGAAGAACACAGTGTCACCTAGAATCCAACTCAGCTATTTGTTTGAGGCAAGTTGTGTCGGAGCCCAGCTCCGGCAGAAATCAGCTGGGGGTACCCTGGGAGGGGGCGCTGAGGCTGAGGAAATGTTAGATTAAGAGAAATGACAGAAGCATAGGATGGACTAGAAGGACTGAAGGTCAATACCAAACAGGCCCAAGTTCATTTCTCAGGCAGCATAGGTACTGCAGGTAAAAGGCAGAACAGAAAGCAACACAGTCAGCTGACCATCCCCCTGCACTGTCCTTGGGAGGCAGCTCAGGCAGGTGCGTTATCTTCTTCAGCTTAGCTGCTTCTAATCTCTAAGGAGGAGTGCCTCTGGCTGGCATACACCAGCCCAAATCTTAATAGAAAAATGTGCTCTTTCAACTGGGCAAGAATGCTCTTTCCCATGGGCTTAATCAGAACTTTCTCACAGCCCTCGCGGTTACTGGGAAAAACAGAGCAGGCAAGCAAGCTTGAACTCAAATGACTTCTTTAAGTCAGAAATGACTCCAGATGGAAACTGAGTCACACATGGGCTCCCACAAAGTTGTAGGTTTTTTTTTCCTACAGAGCCTACTTTCTTGATGGTGAATTATTGTTTAGTTGTAGATGATACTTTGTTTTTGTCATGTTAAAAGATATAGGCCCCTCTATATATCTAGTTTAAGAAATAGGGCTGGAGAGATGGCTCAGAGGTTAAGAGCACTGTCTGTTCTTCCAGAGGTCCTGAGTTCAGTTCCCAGCAAGCACATGGTGACTCACAACTGTCTAGAATGAGATATGGTGCCTTCTGGTGTGCAGGTGTACAGGCAGGAGGAACATTGTATACATAATAAATAAATAAATCATAATAAAAAAAGAATAACTGTTTAAAAAAAAAGCTGGGCATGGTGGCGCACACCTTTAATCCCAGCATTTGGGAGGCAGAGGCAGGCTGATCTCTGTGCGTTCGAGACCAGCCTGGTCTACAAGAGCTAGTTCCAAAGCTACAGAGAAACCCTGTCTCAAAAAACCAAAACCAAACAAACAAACAGCAGTGGCAGAGTTGGCCCAGAGGCAGCTGCCTATAGTTTTGGAGGCAGTCACAAGAGCTTTGAAAATTCAAGGCCAGTTTCAGCAATTCAGTAAGACCCTGTCTCAGGATAAAAACTTTAAAAGTGCTTGTGGGGATATGGAGTGATTGGTTAACGTTTTTGAGGGTCTGGGTTTAATCCCCAGTACAATAAAAAATAAAAAAGAGAGTGTACTTAATTTATATAACATGTTTTGCCAGTGCCTGCTCATATGATACATTTTCCTAATATTTTAATTTTATTATATCTAACCATATTTGCTTTTAGTGGATTATTTTTAATATATATTTTTAAATATGTATTTGTTCTTGTTTTATGTGTGTGGGTATTTCCTGCATGTATTAAATGTATAATACATTCATTCAGTTCCCTTGTAGGCCCGAAGAGGGCATCAAATCCGCTGGAAAAAGAGTTACAAATGGTTGTTGGCCTCCTTGTAGACTGAACCAGGTCTTCTGCAAAAGCACAAGTGCCCTTAATCACTGAGCCAGCTGTCTAAGTCCCTGGATTTCTCTCTGTTTGAGAGTTTTGTGTGTGTTTTGGTCATATTCATCCTTCCCCTCCCCACAACTCTTCTCAGACTCACCAAGCCTTCAAGTCTAATTTGTGCTGTCCAAATACTCTTGGCTGTGTCACTTTCTCTGTAGTGAAGGGTGACCTGACCCGCCTGCCTCTGACTCTTGAAAGCTGGGATTGCAAGTGTGCACCACCACACCCAGTTTACGGGGTGCTAGGGATCAAATGTATGTACCATGGTTCATGTCAGAGGTAAGCAGTCAATTTATGGGTATTAGCTCCTTTGTCGTCATGTGGGTCTGAAGTCACCTCAATAGGCCTGGCAGCGAGTGCCGTACCTGCTGAGTCCTCTCATTGGTGCTGACTGTGTTTTTACATCAAGCTAGCAGTGAGTGGAGACACGGTAGTGTCTACTGTGATTTAGTCTCAGGGTTATGCTAACTCCGTCAGGTTTGCCAATCTTATCACCATTTTCTCCTGTCTTTAGTGCATCCCAGAAAAGCTTGCAATGCATTAGAATTAGCTCTTCCTGCAAAGCACTGTGAAAAGCTGTCTTATAGAGC